TGATATAAAGGATAAGAAATGCACTTTGTGGAAAAGAACTTCCAGAACATTTCACACCACAACGAATTATTGTAATTGAAATGAAATGATTTTTATTCATTATTATTTATTTGAAAACTAAAAACTAAAAAAGAATATAAAATAAATTTAAAAAATGAATATGAACATTTCATCTATTAATGAATGAAATGGTGAATATAAATATTCTTATTTCTTTATTGAGTTAATTAACAAAAGAATAGAAGATTATTGTGTTTTATTATTTAGTTATTTAATAATGATAAATGATGAAGATAAACTGTTTATCAAATATATAACATAAGTATGATGAAAGTAATTAATTAAATGTTTATGTCAATGTTCGTTTTATTTCATTTATTACCGATTTTTTATCACTCTACTTTTTATGTTTAAAACATGTTTTAATTATTTTGAAGTGGATCGCTATTTGTTTATTCTTTAATGTATCGTTATTTATATTTATCTTCTTATTTTAGTTCATTGTGACTGTTTAATAGTTATTTCGATTTAAATATTTTAAAAATAGAAAATAACAAAGATATTAAATAATCAAAATGACTCAATGAGAAAAAAAAATGGAGAATTATCACAATGAGACATAAAAGAAATGATGACAGAGATGTTAAAAAGATTATTAATGATTAATGTACAAGTACTCTATGAGAAAAATAAAAATTGGTGATCAGTATTTATCAAAAATGTGATATTACAAATATTATAAGTTTAAATATACATTATAAATAATACATGTTAGAATAAAAAGAACTCAATCAACTCTCAAATTATCAACAAAACCTAATGAGTATGTCAGAATATGATGACATTTTTTAATAAAAAAATATCAATCAATAAGAAAATAAAGAGATCTAATAGTGTTAAGAAAATGAATAGTATTAACAAAAAGTAATTAACATAATAAATAAAAAATAAAATAAAATTCAAAATGAAAAAGAAATGATAAACCAAAATGAATAATTAAAAAGGAAACAAATGAAATAAATAAAAATTAAAATAAATAAAAATCAAAATAAAATTAAACTAATAATGATATTATTCAATAAAAATACAAAGCAAAAAAATTAAAAAAGAGAATTCCATGATAAAGAGAATATCTTAAAAATGAAATTAGTAGCAAAATTAAATAAATGATAATACAAAGAGTTAAGAATATATTAAAATAACTAACAACATAAAAATAGAAAATGAATGATGAAATAAAAAGAATATAACCAAAACATAACTTATTCAACAAATTCCTCAAATGATTATAAAAAATAAAAATTAATACCTTTTATAATAATAAATATGTTTAATAAAATACATCGATTAAATATTATATCAATATATTAATAAATAAAATGAATCTTATTACCAAAAGATTCTTATAATCAAATTAAAATTGTTGAATATAATTATAAATATAATATATCTATTGAAATAAATTATAAATTATAAATATTTAATAAAACAAATTAATGAGATTGTATAAATCAATAATACTTAGAATATAGAAAAAAGAAATAAAGATTATATAATAACTGTCATTATAAAATTGATAAAGTATTAATAAAAACAAGAATAAAAAGAAATATAAACAAAGAAGAAAATACTAATTAAAATTTACGTAATATATTTGAATTAAACAATGATAATCATATTGAAGAAAAAGTGTTAATACCAAATTGATTAAATGAAAATTACTTAACGTTTAAACGAAATGTGATTTTGTAAAAAAAGTGTAACTGTTTTAATGAAAAAAGGTGATAATTACCAGTTTTTTTTGGTTATATTAACATATTATTTTTGTAAAAAGAACAAAGGTGAATTTCAATAATAATATAGAGCAAACCTTGTTTATTATTGAAGTGTTAGTATTTAAAAAGCAGTATAGAGTGATGACGTAACATAAAGTTGAGTAAGATTTTTGTTATTAACTATTTTTAAAAATAAATTAAACTATTTTTAATAAAATAGTATTATTAGAGATATTTTTATTTTTAAGTTGAAACTAAAAACAAATGAATATATTTAAAAAAAAAAATATGTTATAAAAAACAATATAAATTATTTACAAAAAAATGAACTTAAATAATTTTGTCAAAAAAAAACTGGGAGATGGATGAATTATATCAAATAGCATTAAAAAAAAGTAAAGGAAAAGCCCTAAGTGATGAAGAACAAATGATAGTTAAAGAAATAGTTAAAGAAACACTTAAGCCAGTAAACATTTCAAACCAATTTGACCATTTTATATTTACAAATGAAAAACTAAAGAAAAGTTATTTGCAAAATTTACCAGCACCACACTGTTGTCGTTTTCTTACGGATAGTTATTATATTTGTTCATGTACCGAAAAGATACTATTTATTTGTGATTCATGTAATGAACGTATGAGTATGGACAATCATTATAATCATACTAAGGGAAAGGGAAATATTAATATGATTTGTCAATGTGGGATAGAACATAAATTAAAAGTATCTGAGACACCAACATTATTGACTGGCTCATCTCCACTTCTTATTCTTCCAACACATGATGATTCTATGAATAAAAAACCAACGAAAATAGAAAAAGATTCTACGATCTTACTTGTAGGAGAGGATTCAGTAGAAATCAATAAAAGTCAAATCATTTTAACAGAAGATAAGAAAAAGAAAAAAGGAAATGGCTTTAATACTTTAGAACAAAGAATTGAAAAAGATAAACAAAAATTAAAAACGTTACAAAGAAGTCAACAAAAGAAAGAAGGACTTCAAATACTTTTTAGTAAAGAAAGTGCTAAAGAGAAGTTAGAATCGTTTAAAGCATTTAAAGAAAAAATAGATGAAGAAGAAAAAAGAAATAAAAATGAATTTAAAGAAAGAAAACAAAAACTTAAAGATTTACTTCCATCAAAATATTCAAAAGAAATAAAAGAATTACCATTACAATCAAATAAAGGATATTGTTGTATGCATGG